ACCACAACGCCTGGCTATTTTTTGGTTGCAGCCGCCATTGTTGTTTGGCGGGTCCGGGCTGGGGATTCGAACCTGCCACCTTAGGTGTACGTGGCTGGCGTCTTAGCCGGTTGAGCTATAGGCGCCGAGCCGAATATCATTCTTAATGTAATAATGAAATGATCCTGAGAATTCACATCACTCATTTAGGGGCCAAAACTCATAGGTCAAAAAGGTATTTTGTCCTTTTGATCTTGCTCTCATAGTTAGCAAAACTGTGTCAATAAGTTATTACTAGGATAGAAACATAGCACCAGAACAGTTCTGAACCTTCCAACTAATCTTCTTGGAAACAATACAGAGAGAATAAAGAAGAGGGGGAAATCCCTATAAACCTACAATTTCACCTTCCATACTAGGAAGGCACAGGGCATCCAGGGGAAACTAGCAGCAGCAGACCTCAAAGACTGACAGCAAGTATCCATTCTCAGAAGACAGCCCCATTCTGAGTGTAAACTGCTGTGGACAGGACTAAGATCAAATAGGGAGCAAACATATGAGGTCTGAAAATTAAGTTCATAAACTCATCCTAGAAAAAAGTGACCTCATTATTGATTATCACTATGGTCACCTTCAAAGTACTCCCCTTGGGAAGATACACACCAGTGCCTAGTTCACCCTTTAAAGCAATTTGGAACTCTTTCTGGAATGACCATCAGAGCTGTTGTCACACAAGGTCTGATAATTAAAGTTACAAAACTGCCACTGTGAGCTTATATAGGCAGCATTGTACAAAAAAGCTGGTAAGGTTTTCATAACTTTGGAATATCAATGCCTCATATCTGTGTTCAGTGTTGACTTGTGGTGGTATCTTGCTGAGTGGCATTCATTATTATTGTTGTGTGTTTTTGTGTGCTGTATGACGACAGCTCTGATGGTCGCTCCAGAAAAGAGTTCCAAAATTGCTTTGAAGGGTGGACTACGCTCTGGTGTCAGTGCATAGCCTCCCATGGGGTGTACTTAGACAGTGACTGTAGTGATATTCAGCAGTGAGGTATGTCAGACCTCACATGAGCAAGGTGAACAAGAAAAATAAAAGTCGAAAGTCCACAGCGGAAGGGGGTGCTCTGGAGGTGAGAAAGCTCAAAGAGCACTACCTTTTTTTTTTTTGGCCAGGGCTGGGTTTGAACCCACCACCTCTGGCATATGGGGCTGGCGCCCTACTCCTTTGAGCCACAGGTGCCACCCAAGAGCACCACCTTTTAGAAGAGGAAATAAAAGACTGGGAAAACAGAGCTTGGAGGTGGAGACCAGTAAAGGAATCTGAAGTGTCCAGGATTAGAATAAAAAACCGTCATTGGCTCGGCAACTGTATCTCAGCCAGTAGGGTGCCAGCCACAGACACTGAAGCTGGCAGGTTTGAGCCCTGGCCTGGGCCTGCTAAATAGCAATGACAACTGCAACCAAAAAGTAGCTGGGCATTGTGGTGGGAACCTGTGGCCCCAGCTACTTGGGAGGCTGAGGCAAGAGAATCGCTTAAGCCCAAGAGTTTGAGGTTGCTGTGAGCTGTGATACCACAGCACTCTACCAAGGGCGATGTAGTGAGACTCTGTCTCAAAACAAAAACAAAAACTAAAACAAACCCTTGAGTCAAATTAGGTTCTGAGAGGCAAAGGAGTTGTGACTAGACCATAGTAAGATCTTGAGCAGCAAAGCCTAAAATTCTACCCTGGCCTATCTTCCTTTTCTGTTCTATGGGACTTTCCTGCTAATATGGTCCTGCAAATTCCAACTTACTCAAATATGAGTATCAAAGTGGTATAAACATATCAACTATCTAAAGGCACTATTACAAAAAAAAAGTGAAAAGACAGCAGTACAACTTCCCTAATGACATATAAAGCATACTTGAAAATAACTTTCCATTAAAATGAAGAAAATTATGAAACATTTGTTCATAAGGGAAAAAAACAAAACAAAACGTAGTGAAGCAATGGTAGCTACCAAGAAAGAACACACAATAGTAAAGAAAGCACCCAGGGAAGAGATGACTAGATTCCGTGTGTCAAGGGCTAGACAACAGGAAAAGATGAAGGGGAGTCAATGCAACTCAGAAAAATGATAAATGTGCATCATGTCAGAAGTGAAGACTATGTATTATGAACATACACATGAAAGTACTCAACAAAATTGTACTCAATCAAATCTAGCAATACATAAAAAAGGTAACATATACTGATCACATAGGACTTATACCAGGAATGGAAGGTGAGTTCAGTATTTTAAAAGATCATTTGAGGTAACCAATCATATTAATAGGCTAAAAGAAAACCTCTCGGTTTGGCACCTGTAGCTCAAGTGGCCAAGGCGCCAGCCACATACACCTAAGGTGGCGGGTTCGAATCCCCAGCCCGGGCCCACCAAACAACAATGACGGCTGCAACCAAAAAATAGCTGGGCGTTGTGGCGGGCGCCTGTGCTCCCAGCTACTTGGGAGGCTGAGGCGGGAGACTTGCTTGAGCCCAGGAGTTGGAGGTTGCTGTGAGCTGTGATGCCACAGCACTCTACCCAGGGGGACAGCTTGAGGCTCTGTCTTAAAAAAAAAAAAAAGAAAACCTCTCATAATCATCTCACCATCTCAATAAATGCAGAAGAAGCATATAACAAAATTTAATACCCATAGAACTCTGCCAACTAGGAACTTCCTCAACCGCCATGAAAAACTCACAGTGACCATCTTACTTAATTGTGAAAGACTGCTTTACCCCAAAGAATTAGAACACTTTTCTTTCTTTTTTTTTTTTTTGAGACAGAGCCTCAAGCTGTCCCCCTGGGTAGAGTGCCGTGGCATCACAGCTCACAGCAACCTCCAACTCCTGGGATCAAGCGAGTCTCCTGCCTCAGCCTCCCAAGTAGCTGGGACCACAGGCGCCCGCCACAACGCCCGGCTATTTTTTGGTTGCAGCCGCCATTGTTGTTTGGCGGGTCCAGGCTGGGGATTCGAACCTGCCACCTTAGGTGTACGTGGCTGGCGCCTTAGCCGGTTGAGCTATAGGCGCCGAGCCCTAGAACAC